GAATATCAGGGCATACATGATGTGGCAGAGGCAAGAATTGGGTTTTCTTCAATCTCTCTTACCCAGATTTGGGACAGTGCTTGGTATGCAGTAGGGACCAAATTAATTCCTGTTGAACACACGCGCGCGCGCGCACACACACACACACACACACACACACACACGGGCAGGCACCACTGTCTTCCCAGGACAGACACACCGACAGCTGTGTGTGGGATGAGGGGGGCACAGGGAGAAGGAAATCAAGAAACCAAAAGAAGAGGGGGCTGCCTCCCCGTTGCCCCTTCCTGCCCCCTGAGCAGCCACACCAGGCCAGGGAGCTGTGCCCCCCTGTCTGGCACGCTCCCTGCTGGCTCCCCCGTGAAGCCTCGCTAGGCACTCAAGTGCTGGCGGGGCAGGAGCCAGAAGGGACCAGGGCCGTGGAGGTGCAGGGCAGAATCAGGTCCCAGGAAGACCAGGACAGGGCAGGCAGGGCAGCAGTGACAGCACAGACCTAACTGGGGGCCTGCACTGTGCTGGCACGCATTGGCCCTCTCCTGTCCTCTAACCCCTAAGGCCCAGGGTGGGCTCCCGCTGTTGACCCAGAGGGTTTGGTGGCCTTCCAGCCTTACTGGGTACTCAGGGCCAGGCCAACCTGGCTGAGAGCAGTGTCGCGAGACGCAGGTGCAGCGGCGGCTGGAGCCGTGGTGGCGGGACCGTTTGCTTCCAGGGTACTGGGCCGGCGGTCAGTTCCGCTCCTGTCCACCAGGCGGCGGTGCTGGCCAAGCCCTGCGGCTCCCGGCCGGTGTCCGAGGGAGGCGGCCGCTCGCCGATTCCACAGCGCGGGCAGGATCTGTCGGGCGGCGAGGGGATTTAGCCAATTTATAGTTACGATGCAATCTACATGCGACTTGAGGGGCTGACTGGAGGCTTTTTCCGAACGTATACACACCCGAGTGCCCACCGCCCGATCCCGGCGCAGGGCTTTCCCAGCCCCCAGAGGCTCCGCAGCGTTAACGCCCCAAGGGGAGCATTATCCCGACTCGCCACACAGGGGTCGGGTTGACCCGAGCTTCATGTGAGTGGAAGCGCGCAATGGGTGCTCTCTGGATGTTCTCCTACGTCAACACTGCAGCTGTGAGGTTTATCCACACGGTCACAGGTCCCAGTCGCTTGTTTTCCTTGCCACAGTATTCCGTGGTGTGCATATGTGGCGATTTATGTTTCCATTCTCCTGTCCACGGGTGTGAGAGGTTGGGTTCCCCAGGCAGCAGCCTTCTGAGACAGAGATTGGGGACAGGGCTTACTAGGGAGCAGTCTCGGATCCACAGGCCTGGACACGGCGCAGCTGCGACAATAGCCTCAGCTGAGCACTTGAGGGCAGCGCGCAGCCCCCGGGGGCAAGCCCGCCACTCGGGAACAGGGGGCTGAGCGCGCAGGCAGCGTCCAGCACTACGGACGGTAGGTTGTTGCCTGGGGCTGCTACACAGAACACTGCTCTGAACATTTGTGTGCCAGTCTTTGTGGACATCCACACCTAGTTCTGTCACCTGGGAGTGGAATGGCTGGGTCCTGAGGCAGGTGGACAGGCAATTTAAAGTAGCTGCCACACTGCACTGCTTGGGTCTGACAAGTCCTTGCCGACCACCCACTGTGCCCATGCCCTAATTGTTCCAGGGCTGGTTTCCAGGCGTGGCAGCCCCTTGCCCTCTGAAATTCCAGCCTGGTGGGGAACAGATGAGTGCAGGCAGGTGTACGACAGTAGGGGTCCCAGGGCCTTGATGGCAAGGGACCATGCAGGGCTGGGCTGCATAACAGTGTCCCAGTTTGGATTGGGTTCCCACTCCTGCTCGGCTGCAGGCTGGCATGAACCCTGGGGCGAGCCCAGGCTTCCTCCTCTGTCCAGCTCATTCTCAGAGCGCTGGAGTCATCTTATGATATGACCCGAATGAAGGCACTTTGTAATGATGGGGCCCTTGGCGAACAAGACTGACTGGCACTGAAGGGTCCCAATGAGGCGACAGCTCACCCTGGGGCGGGAGGGAGTGTGGGGGGCTGCGGGGTGGGGGTAGGCGGTGCAGAGGTCTCAGAAGCCTCAGCGCCCCCCTCCCTCCCGCTACGGGCACTCCTCCTTGGCTTCCAAACCTGGAACGGCGTCCGCGCCTCCTGCAGTACCGACTGCCGCCAACAGGGGCCGCCCCAATCGCTGCCCAGTGGGAGGCCGCCCTCCCCACCAGGGCCAGTTCCTCCCTTCTTGGAACAAACTTGGACAGCCACAACTTGCCGGGCCACAGCCTTACCTTGCCGATGGCACCAGAGGGGGAGGAAGGGCACAGTCTCTATCGTAGGACAGCCTCCACCTCGCTCTCAGGCAACCAGTTAGCAACTGTCTATGAAGCTGCTACTGTTTGTTGGCCCACTCCAGTGGGGAAGACATTCACTATTAACAAACACTTCCAAGGGCCCAGGCGCCTGAGTGGGGAGCCATGGAGGGGCACAGTGTGGCGGTTAAGGCACCGGCCCTCGCACCACAAAGCCTGGTTCTCTCACTTCCTGCCTTGTGATGGTGAACAAGTAGCTTAATCTTTTTGTGCCTCAGTTTCTCCATCTGTAAAATAGGAATGATTACAATAAACACAACCTTTTTGAGGAGTTGCCATGAGGATTGTCAAGTAAACACGAGACTTGGAAAGTAGTGTTTTTTAGGGGAGAAAAAGTATTATCTTTTCTCACCCATCACGAGGTTCATGACTTCCCTATATAACAAAAGACAGATCAATACGAGAAAAGCAAACAAATGTATTTAATGTAAGTTTTATGTGACACAAAAATGGAGACCCAAGAAACAGGGAAATCTGTATATTTTAGGGTTTGGTTTGATGGAGAGTGGACAGTGGTGTAGAAACGTGATTGGGTACATGGGGTAGGGGCTAATGGTAGTAAACTGGGGGGCTCAGCCAGGGCTCTTTGTTCCGATTCCTCTCTCTGTCTCTGTGTCTTCGGAGATAAGGGTGTTAATGAGGGGCTCCCGTCCTGCCTCAGGGAGGAAGGGCAAAGAGAAGGTGAGAGTGGTTTTCCTGCTCTGCTGTTTTCTCGGATGCCAAGGGGCCGTACTCTGGGGTAGTGTACGCTGAACTCTGTTAGTATATTAGATACATAAACACAGGAGTATGTGGTGGGGGACCTGCCTGGGCATTCCTGTTCCCTAGATGCCAGGCCTAAGACAAGCTTCAGTTCCTCAGAATGTCCCCTCCCCGCCACCCGAAGTCCTGCAGATGGGACCACCCTGCCCCCGCCAGCTGGCTTGGGCAGCCTGACATCCACAACTTGGCCAGTAATTTTCCAGGCAGGCTGAGGCTCCAGCCCTGATTTCCTCGATAAGATGCCATACATATCTCTTTTGTGGGAATGTGGTTTATCAACAAGGTGCTCTTGGCTCCAGCCCTCTGGGTAACCACCCAGGGCAGCCAGCACTACAGGTGAAGCTGGGGAGGGGGAGGAGGGAGAAGGAGGGAAATCTGGGCCCCAGCACTGCCCAGAGACTGATGGGGCTGCCAGAGGGCCTGGGGCACAAAGGGGTACCCTGAGCCCGAATGCCTCAGGCTGCCCAGCCAGAACCATAAATCACGGGGCTGGGCCGGCAGGAACCATCAACCTTGGGCTCGTTGTGACTGGCATTGACTCCTCACCTGTTTGCCTTTGGCCTTCGGAAGACTGGGCCTTTGCTTCTAGTGGAGAAACTGAGGGAGCTTGGCAGGGGTGTGGCGTGGGAGAGGAGGGCCAGGGTTGCAGCAATGCCTTTGGAAGTCAACCGAGGCAAAGCTGTTGTCACCCTCACACCCTCACTAAGACCAAAGTCACAGCATGTCAGGGCTGGAAGGGACCCACAAGACCCCCTTATCCTGGCTTCCTGTTTTACACACCAGGATACCAGGGCCCAGGGGGGCAAGGAAGCTGCCCAAGGTAACACAGGGGGACAACTTGGGTCTCCAAACTCCCTCTGCTTTCCTCTCCAAGCCAACCTCCCCAGCCAGGCAATGCGCCTCTATTCCTTGCTCCCCATAGGCATGCATGGGGCCAGCCATCCCTTAGCTGAGTCCAGAGTAGTCACTGATCGTGGCCTTGATCTGGGGTCTTGGGGGCCAGGGTATTCACAAGCTTCCAACCCAACCCAGGGCCTTGCCACCTAAAGTAAGGGCCACAGAACCACCTGGTTAGAAAAGCAGAATCCCAGACAGGGCTCCTGACTTTCTGATCACTCTGCATTTTAACAGGTCTCCAAGAGATTCGTGTGCACGTGGCAAGGTTAGAAGCACTAGGTTAGAACAAGCCTCTTCCCTCCACGAGCCTCAGTTTCCCTAACAGAAGTCACAGGGGCAAAACATCTCTGACTTCTTTGCCAGAGCTAACACATTGGGAGCCAGGCCTTCGGTGTGACCTCCTGTGGGGCTATGTGCATTTTGTGGTGGCTTCCAGAAAGTGGAATTCTAGCTCCAGCAAGGCAGGGGGAATGATCCACCCCTCTCCCCTTCTGTCTGCTTAACCCCCTCATGTCTGCTGGAGACTCAGGGTAGGTGTAACTTCACAGATCCTGGGATGCAGCTGATTCAATTCAATCTGCTTCAGCAACACCGATTGAGCACCTTCTCTGTGCTGGGTCCGTAGCAGTGAATCTCCACCTTAGAATCATGCAAGATGCTTTTTAAAATGCCTGATGCCTGGGCCTCACCCCAGGCCAATGGACCAGAGCCTCTGGGGGGAGGGCTGGGCATAGGTACTTATTAACGTGCCTTGGGCAATTATAATGCACAGCCAGGTTGAGACTGGTTGGAAGTAAGAGAGAAGGCTGCTGGAAGACCTACCAGGGCCGGGTCGCCACTCTCTACTTCCTTCTCTCAGGCCAGCCAGCTGCAAGCCAAGAGAACTCCCCAGGAAATCATCAGGAAATTCCCTGGATATGGTAATGCATGACAGCAACATCTAATTAATCATCAACCCTGTAACGTGATCCCTGTGGCCCATAAAAAGAGAACCTGCCGAGTCTTTGGAAACCTGTCCACTGGCCTTCTCTAGACGGTTCCTTCTAGACCTGGGAACCTGTGCCCAAGGACCCCAGGCTGATGATGGGTGCCCAGCTCTGCTCCGAGGCCAGTAAGTAGACCTCCTACAACCCTGAGCTTGGTCCCTGGACCACGGGTGCAGGAAGTGGAGGGCGCTCTGTCACTGCTGGGATAGAAGTTCCAGGAGGTAGAGGTGTGGTCAGTGTAAAGTTTTGGGGGCCTGGTGGGTTCCCAGTTCTGCCAAGTCCAGCTGTGGGATCGTGGGCAAGTCACTTTGTCCCTGGGCCTCAGTGTCCTCATCTGCAGGCTGGGGACAAGCTTACAGGGCTGCTAGAACACACTAATCCAAAGGGTAATAAGCATGAAGGTTCTCTGCGAGCCTCGCCCGAGGCCACTGGCATCCCTTAGAGGAAGGGCTGTGTGTGGGTGCGGATGGAGGACCTGGTCTTTTATCACCAGAGACTGGGACTGCACATCTCTGGATCTGCCCTCCCAGGTAAAGCAGCTGGGGCTCAGGGCCCTTGTCCTCCTGCTCGGCACCCAAGGGTCATGCACAAGCCGTGGGCTGCACCCAGAACCACAGCTGCTGTGACCACTGTTTGGATTCCAGGCAGGGCAGTGATGTGCCATAAAGGAGGCCGCGGGGCAGGGGGGGAGTGTGGGGTCTGGGAGCTGGGCCTGGGGTCCCCACTTCTGGCTTCAAGAACGTGGACTTGCACAGCCTTCCCAAGCTCTGACTGCTTCCCCAGGAGGGTGGCGGGAGGAGTGACGGAGGCTGCAAGTGCTTGTCAGCGCCTGGCACCCTGATAGGCTGCGGCTGGAGGGGTGTTGATGAAGAGGGTGAAGACCCGCAGAGGCGGCGCTGAGCTGGGGGCTGACCCTGCATCGCTTGAATCCCAAGAGCCCAGAGAGTCTGTAATTTGACTCTACCTGTCCAGGGGTGGAGACATCTAAGGCCCTGACTTGTGTTCCCTGGACTTCCTGGCAGCCAGGCTGGGTCCTTGTCCAGCACTTGGTCCCACCCTGCAGCAGCAGGGCAAGGTGGGGGCAGGCAGCATAACTGGAGAGTGTCTTCTATGGACATGTCACTCTGTCACTCCGCTTCTCTGAGCCTCAGGATCCTGCCTGAAAATGGGGCCCATAAAAAGAAGGTGACGGTGCTCAGACACCTGGGTGCTCTGAACCCTGTGCCAGCCCAACTGCTGGGGACAGGTCTGCTCAGAGAGCCACACTTGGCCTGTGCCCACCTCCCACACACCCCACCCTGGGAGCAGGTGGCCTGGGTGGCCCGGGTGGCCCGGGTCAAAGGGTTGGAGGACCCCTGCAGTCCGTATGGGAGAAGGCAGGCAGAGTAGAATTGGCTGGTCACACCTTTCACGCCAGTGAGACCTGGCTCTAAACTCAGGCAGCAGAGCCCTGGGCAAAGTAGGTGGATGCAGCCTGCAGACCCTTTCGGGGCTGGCAGGGCAAGGGGAGGGCTGCAGCCCTACGCAGGCTCGGCCATGCAGTGAACAGCCTCGCAGGAGAGTGTACGCGGGGAGACTGAGCCCCAAGGGCCCTTAGTTCCCCAGCCAGAGGCGCCTTGCAAGGGCCAGACTCAGGCAGGGCCTGAGGGCTGCCCGAGTAGGGAGCAGAGCCCGGGTGTGCAGCAGAGAAAAGGGTACTCAAGTGCCGTGGCTGGATGGTGACCTGTGCAGCAAGCTGTGTCCCTTTGGCCCCTCCTCTAACTGTGGTGACATGAGAGCATAGCGTCCATGCCGCTGGGAAGGCTCCTTATGGGTGAGCTTTGCAGACTATCAAGTTCCCATCCTGGGCAAGGCCTGCTTCTCCTGGGCTCCCCAGGCCCTCCCTGCCCTGCCGAGGGACTCAGGTACCCACCCAGGCCATTCCCCGGGAATTCCTCCTCCTCCCTGGACTGCCTCCCAGCCAGCCAGGTCCCCACTCCCCCCTAGGAAGTGCCCGGGCAGTGAGCTCACCTCCCCTCCCGCCCCTGCATGGGGTCAGACTCTGTCCCTGGCACCTGCCCAGGGGATGGGGTGGAAACTCCAGCCACAGCAAGGACGGGCTCATCTCTGCTAGTTACCGTCCAGGCCCAAAGTGCTGAGCATGACAGGTCTCCAGTTCCCCTGACCCCTGAGCTTGGTCCCTGGATCAGGGGTACAGGAAGTGGAGGGCCCCGTGTCACTGCTGGGGCAGAAGTTCCTTCTTTACCTGTAGGGGCTGCATTGGGTGGAGCTGGAGCGACTCCTGTTTGACCCTAGTTCTGCCCCTGGTTGCTGTGGGGCCAGGGCCGGCTGCTTGCCCACCGTCTGCCTCTCGGGGTGGCAGCAGGATTGGGTGTGGCGGCATGCAGACAGGGCTCAGATGCTGGTCACCATCTCCCACACTGCCCCTCGACCAGGACCATTGCTCAGGTGCCTTTGCAGGCCCACTCCAGGGCTTCTCTCCAGGTCCCAGCTCAGGGATGGAAAGTGACCCAGCCAGGGCGGTGGCCTCCACCCTCCATGGTTTTGGCTGGTTACACCTGGTGCCCCCCCAGCGCCCTACCTTGCCAGGTGGGCAGTGAACAGGATCCCCAGGCAGGTGCCCCGAGACTCCAGGCCTTGGCTGGGTGGCACATCACTTTCGTTTGTGGGTAAGACCAGGCCCCGGGGGACAGTGACCTGCCTGGGTCAGCAGCAGGGCAGGACTAGAATCCAGGTGTCAGACATGGCCAATCACTGTGGCCCTGCCCTCCACAAAGTGGCCTCAACAATGGGCACAAGGACAGGTTCGATGTCAGGGCCCCCAGTCTGGCTTCAGGTCTCCATTTGTGCTGACTCAGGGACTTCCCCTTGCTTAGGGACAACCTTGAGGGACAGGGAGTCCGGACGGACCTGTCGGGACAGGCGGGAGAGATGTGGGCATTCCAGGAAGGTGCAGGTGTGGCCAGGGGCGTGGGCGAGATAGGCAGGGCTCTGTGAGGGCCCCTTTGGAAGTCCCAAAGTCAAGGTGAGTGCTTGTCCCTAACGCCTCGAGTAAGGAAGGGCATTTTAGGTAAGCTTACCTTTGGTCTGTGGAGGTCAGGGACAGATTCACTGTGACCTCAAGGGTGTCCCTTGTGCCTGACCAGATTAAGCCTCCCCTCCCTGGTCCCTACCAGAAGTTTGCAGGCATGTATGTGGTCAGAGGTTCCAGGGGAACGTGAGCTGCTCTGGGAGGGGAGGGGCCTTGCTCCTCTAGGCTGGGGTCTAGGTCAAGTTCTGATTGAATTCACCTCTTTTTGTTTTTAACAGCAAGAGATCAGCCAGCTCCCCTCCCCCAAGCCAGAAAGAGCAGGGCCAGGCAGAGAAGGACAGGGGTTGGCAGGAGATTAGGCCTCAGGGCTGGCTAAGGGCAGTCACAGTCCTGGGACAGGAAACTGCACAGGCTTCCTCCGTTGGAGGGGCTGAGAGGAAGGACCGCCCGGCAAGGAGCTTTGCCCTCCTGGCTGCAGAGTGCAGTCATGCAGCAAGTCCCCTGGTTTCAGAGCCCGCCCAGGATTTTGAGGGGCTGACCTGGGATGCCCTGTCCAGCCTGCAGCCTCACTCCGTGGGGAGCAGCCAGGCCCCTTTCTCTCCCAGGACAAGGGTGTCACCGTCACCAGGGGCCATGGCCTTCACAAATGATGCAGGTTCCGTGTGGGAAAATGAGAAAGTCAGACAGGCAGAGGGGGAAGCACAGAACACAGTTGGCATGTGGCCCATTCCCTTCCGTCATCCCTGAGTGTACAGAGAATAGATGTGGATAATAAACACACATGTGCCGAACCAAACCTGCTCTTGCTTTTTTTTTTTTACTTTCAGGATATTACAGGGGCACACACGTTTTGGTTACATAATTTGCTTTTGTACAGTTTTTGAATCAAAGTTATAAGGGTGCCCTTCACCCAGATAGTGTGCATTGTACCCATTAGGTGTGAATTTACCCTTCCCCTCCTCCCCTCTCCCACCTGCTTGATTTCTGCTGAGTTTTACTTCCATATGTGCACATACGTGTTGATCGACTAGTTCCCATTTAGTATGGAGTACATATGGTTTTGTTTGTTTTTCCATTCTTGTGACACTTAGAAGAATGGTCTCCAGTTCCCTCCAAGTTGTTACAAAAGATACTAGATCACCATTTTTTATGGCCGAGTAGTGCTCCATGGTACACATATACCACATTTTATTAATCTGCTCATGTATTGATGGGCACTTGGGTTGTTTCCACATCAAACCTGCTCTTTCTGCGTAACAGTAACACCCATGACAGGGATTGATTGATCATGGGCAGATCACGAACAGGCATCGGTTCCTTTAGTAGTCACAGCATCACTGAGGGAGGGGACCTGAGGCTTCCGGAGGTTGGTGTGAACTCAGACTTGGGACAGGCAAAGTGGGCTCCTCACCTGGCTCTAAGCAGGTCTCTGGGGTTCTGGAGAGGATGGAGTTGAGGGGATCCCAGGTAGGTTGGGGAGGTGGAAATGGTCCTCCAGGGGAGGTCAAGGTGGCCCTGCAGTGCTGTGGGGGAAGGGCTGGGGGGGTGTTGAAGTGGCTTCGGGGTGCGGGGATGTGTCAAGGTGGCCCCAGGGGCTGGGGACTCCGGGTGCTGGTGGGTCCAGGCCCAGCCCACACTGACACTCTCCACTCCTGCCCGCTCATCCCGCAGACGCCAAGTCCCCGGGAGAGGCGCTTCGCTTCCACAGGGAGGCCAAGGGGGCGCAGGTGCATCTGGACACCCGCGGCTGCACCGCGCACAGGCGCGCCACGTTCCACGACGGCATCGTGTTCAGCCAGCGGCCGGTGCTGCCGGGCGAGCGCGTGGCCCTGCGCGTGCTGCAACAGGAGGGCGGCTGGTGCGGTGGCCTCCGCGTGGGCTTCACGCGCCTGGACCCCGCGCGCGTGTCCGCGCCCAGCCTGCCGCCCTTCGTGTGCCCGGACCTGGAGGAGCAGAGCCCGACGTGGGCGGCCGTGCTGCCCGAGGGCTGCGCGCTCGAGGGGGATGTGGTCCGCTTCTGGGTGAACCACTGCGGCTGGCTCTTCGCACAGGTCAACGCCGGCCGCCGGCTCCTGCTGCGCAAGGGCGTGCTCATGGGCGCCCCGCTCTGGGCGGTGATGGACGTGTACGGGACCACCAAGGCCATCCAGCTTCTGGGTGAGACAACCGCGGGAGGCAGGCACGGCCCTGAGGAGCGGGTGGAGATGGAGGCTCGGGTGGTGCCCCACGCCCATCGAGAGCCAAGGGAAGAACGGTTCATTCGTTCATATTCAGTTATTCCATCAGCCCTAGCCCAGTGTCAGGTGTGAAGATGGGCACTGCAGACACCAGATAGACAAGACCCCAGTCATAGGGAGGGCAGCCTTGTCTCTAAAGAATAAGGGGATATGACCAGCACTCCAAACATCTGTTACAGGGCCGATTACGTTTCACAAAGGAAGAAACATTCGGTCAGTTGCAGTCTAAGTAGGAGTTCACTAGCGACAAAGGCAGCAAGCAAAGGTCTGTTAAGTGCCAGGGCTAGAGGTGCAGGATTCTGCCAGCGGAGGGGTGGGGAAGAAACCAGAACCACCCCTCTGCCACTCCAGAGGAGAGTGGATTTCAGGGGAGCGCAGAGAGGCAGTAATACCCCCAGCTACTCAGGAGGCTGAGGCGGGAGGATCACTTGAGGCCAGAAGTTCGAGGCTACAGTGAGCTATGATTGCGCCACTGCACTCCAGGCTGGGCAGCAGAGGGAGACCCCGTCTCAAAAAAGAAAAAAAAAAAATACTGGCGGTCCATCCCTCCTCCCACTGAACTGGTTTTTAAAATCATTTGCCACAGCTTGTGGAGCCTCATGCCTTGGAGCACCTGATTTGACAGGTCTGGAGTAGGCCCCAGCACCTGTGTTCTCCCCACCCCCTGGGACACACAGATGCACATCCAGGTTTGGAAACGTAGGTCACGCTGAGCGTCTGCACTCAGGCAGGGCAGCAGAGCAGAGAGGACAGGCCTGGAGGAAGGGCAGCTTAGGAGGAAGGATCTACACACCCAGGAGTTGGCCAGGCTAGGTTAAGCTGGGGAAGGGGTGGCCCACGACAGGGTCTTAAAATCAGCCGTGAGCCCCAGCACTGTAAGCCAGAAAAGAAAGGAGAGGGGCCTTTGCTGCAGGGCCTGAGTGGGACGGGGCACCTGGGTTTGCTCTCTCGGGCCCTGAGATTCCCTCTCTGCCTTAGATCCCACAGCCAGCCGGGTCCCCACAACCGTGCTGCCGGTCCTCAGCAATGAGGCTGTGCCTGAGCCTGAAGGTGAGTGGCTTCCCTCAGCACCAGGGGCCCCTAGGAGTGGGGTGGGGAAGGGCCTGAGCCCTGGTTGCTCAGTCACGTCTTCCAGGGGCTTTGGACCAAACGATTTGGCTCTGCCTCCCGGAAACCTAAAAGATATTTAACAGCTCTGCCTTCTAGAACATTGGCCAACTCTAAGTTACAAGAGCACGTTTATGAGCAGATAATGTTATTTCATTCTTGCTTTAAAAATGCAATCCACACTCATTGTAAAGACTTTGCAAAGTTGAAATAAACATTAAAGGATAAAGAAGAAAGTTAAAAAAATCGCCCATTACCTCTTGGGTGGATTTACTTCCCATACTTTTTAGTCATAGATATATACATATGTATATACGAGGAATTGTTTGTACTTTGCTTTCCTTTTCTCTAAATTGGAATTTGATACGTATGTATGTACATTATGCTTTTCTTCCCATGTTTTTTCACTTGATCACATTGTAAGCATTTTCTCATGAGGTCATAGTCTTCAAAACCTTACTGCATAGTTCTCTGTCCTGCAGTTATGGCATGAGTAGGCTGCCCACCCCTTGCCCCCACATGCCCTGACCTACGTTGTCCCCGTTCCTAGCCACATCAGGAGAGGAGTGTGCCGTCTGCTTCCACCATGTTGCCAACACCTGCCTTGTCCCCTGTGGCCACACGCACTTCTGCAGCTCCTGTGCCTGGCGGGTCTTCAGGGACACAGCCAAGTGCCCCATGTGTCGCTGGCAGATTGAAGCGGTAGCCCCGGTGTGACTCTCTCCTGCTCTGGGGACTGGTGTAGACTCAGGAGAGGAGAAGGCTTCGTGGGGTGGGCGGCAGATTGGGCCTAGATCCAAGCCCAGCACAGAGAAAGGAGGTGCAGCGCCCCCTCTGTCTGGAGAACAGTCAGCAGCAGAGAGAGGAACACAAGGGGGTGGTGGCTGCTTCCCCCACCCTTTCCCAACAGGGGCTGGGCCAATGGAGCAAGGAGAAGCTCCTTTTCCTGCCCCCGCCAGAACCGTCTGATGCAGTACTTTGTTCAGAGGGAGGGTCGCTTGATCCCTCGTTTCATAGCTGGGAAGTTAAGGCATCTGCCTGTGTCTGGTGGGAGCCCTGCGCACCTAGGGCATTGAAGAGCCTGGAGCAGAAGCTGAGAGGTATCTAGGAGCAACCAGTCCCGTGTGGAAGCTGGGTCCCCTCCGACAAATCCTCCATAAAGTGGATCTGTAGTTACCAGCCCTGACTACCTTTCAGGGTGGCTGTGAGGTCCCAATAAGATCATGCAGCTGAAGATGATTTAACACATGAAAATGCAGTTGTCATTATAATTATTTCCTTGCCAATTTCTGAGATTATCAAAATAAAGTTTGTCTTTCATGAATGATTTAAAAATGACTATGTCCCCCCCCTTTTTTTTGGCAATACTAGTAACCGGAGTAGACTGTGGCCCCTTTGTGGCAGTCAGTGGGAGTGAGTAGAACTGTGGATTGGTTAGGATGATGGGGCATTTGGGGACAGACATGCCATTCTGTCCTCCCCAGACACACTCTCCAGTGATATATTGAAGTAAAAAGACTGCCCACCAAAAATTCTATACCAGCAAGATTGTCCTTCAAAAGTGAAGAAGAAATTAAGACATTTCCAGATAAACACAAACAGAGAATTTATTGCTAGAATACCTACACTATAAGAAATACTACTGGGATTCCTTCAGATTGAAATGAAATGAATGATCTCTAACTTTTGTCCAATTTTATAGAGAGGAAAACTGAGAGGCAGGTAGGAGGAATCATCTTGTAAATGATGCAGTAAGAATTAGAATCCTCATTATAATCGCACTGATACAATCATTTCTTCATTCACTCATCAGATTAGTTCCAAGAACAATGAAGCACCAGGAGTTAAAAGGCATCCTAGTGTGAGCACAGATGTATTTGTGTCTTTGGGAGCAGCACTGGGGAATAAATAATTATAGTTCAAGGTGATAAGTGTTAAAATAGTCTATACAAAGAGTTTGTCAGCTTCTAGTTCAAGATGGCAGACCACACACATGTAGTTGTTTCCTTTTATTATAAGTCTCAATTTATATTGCTTAGAGTGATCTAAACAGATTTATCTGTTCCCTATAAAATGATATGGGGAACAACTAGGGAACCAAAACCTATGATAAAAGATGGAAAGCAGATGGGATGAGACTGACTATGGAAACCATAGGCCAAATTACCAGAGGAGAAGACTGCTACAAAAGGTGGGAGCAGCTCTAGGGATGCTTTGGACCCAGAACTTGTGAACTGGGAGCAGGAGGGGGTCCAAGGTTGACTGACCATGACTGGTTGAGGCATGACAGAAGGGACAGCCAGGAGTGTTTGCCTCAGGCCAGACAGTGAGCCACAGAGGTGTCTGCTCATGGGCAGGAGCAGTGAGAGGTGAAGGCAAAGCTCCAGAGACAGACAGCTCCCTAAGGAAGCAGGAAGCTTCTGTATCCAGAAGGCTGTTAGCTCATCCTGGCAAGCAGCATATGCCATCCTTTCCTCATTCCCCTTTACACAGTCACGGTTGCATGTCCTTCCCCTTCTTGCAGTCAGGTCATTCAAGTTAACAAGGAATCTCAGGTCCAAAGGTAAACTCACAACCAAGAAAAGCCAAATATTTGCAAAATGCAAATATCATGGGGGAAAAGACTGATAACTCAATGAAAGGAGTTTATATCTGAAAAAAATAGGGTTACGTATAGACCTGGGCTTTAGAATAACTATAATTATATACAAAAGGATGTTGCATTGAAAAATCTAGATACCTTGGAAATTAAAAACTTTATCATTGAAATTAAAGGCTTATTAGATGGAATGAGTAGCAGAAAGGATGTAGCTGAAAAATATGTTAGTGATCTGGAATCAACCAGGATGTACTACAAAATTACCAAGAGATGAAATATATCAAAAAGGGATAAGGAGAATAGATGTAGAAGTTCAAATATTCGTCCAATAGGAATTCCAGTATAAGAAAATAGATTAAATGGAGACAAGAGAATACTCAAGGATAAAATTAAAGAAAACTTTCCCAGAATTGAAGAAAGACATAGCTCTTCAGATTGAAAAAGCCTACCAGCTGTCAAGTAGAATAAGTGGGGAAAAAAGACCTCATTTTGACACATACTGGTGATATTTCAGAGCACCAGGGATAAAGAGAAAACCTAAGAAGAAGAAAAAGAAAAAAAAAAAA